CCTGCCCGCCCACCTCGTACCTCGAAGGCGGCGCAGACAAGCTCAAACCGCGCACCCCGCTCGTTCAAGAGAGCGTCGCGCACCAGAGATACGCCCACATATACTTGAAGATGAATGCATCAGTACGTCGCAGCGTAACTACAGGTACGGACAAGTAATGCCTCGACGACCTCCTGCGTCAAGCTGTGCCGGCAGGTGGTCAATCGAAAGACATCGACCGTCTTCCTACGCCCATGCGGCCTCGGCGGCCTCATCCACACAACCAGAGTGTATACGGCACCGGGGAACGTGTAGACGGTAAGTCTCGGAACGATACGAGCAAATTCAGTATTCACGAAATGCTTCCCAAGGGGGGACCCTTACATACGACGGTGAAAACATTGTTTCGAGCATTCCCCCTCACCTACGCATTCTCCCGCGCCACGCTTTGGTACGTGCATTTGATTATGAGCTCAGAACGATGTTCACCTAATTTGGAACGGATGCGCGCGGTCTGTATGTAGATATCATCGCGAGGAGGTGGCCGGGAGTCTGCTGCAGACATGTTGACCTTGGGCACCAGCGTCGCACCGCGCGGCGTTAACAATCGAACGGCCTAGTTCACGCACTGGAGAGCACACGTACAGCGAGTCTCGATTGCAACGGAGAAAAAAAGGTTCGCGACATCTGCCTTCAAAGGGGGGACCCTTACAAGTGGCCCTGAAACCGACAAATTGTACATCACATCTCAGGCGCAGGTTCTTCTGCGCTGTGCCTTCGTACGTTACGTTGCACTGGCGTTCTCCGTCATATATCGTCGCACTGATATGCTTGCAGGTGGTGTGGATGGAGACAACCTCGCAGAAAGAGGGAGCAGCCACCCCCGTGAAGGCGACGACCTCGTGTGCCGACGACGCGGCGTGCCGCTTTGATATCTGAACACCGCAATCCATGCACCATGGAGCATATGCACGGTGAGTTTGAGCGCGATCCGAGGAGAAATATGTGTTGACCTCCCTGCACACCTCGAACCTCGAGGGCGGCGCAGACAAACTCAAACCGCGCACCCCGGTCCATTCAGAGGGCATCGCGCGCCAGAAATACGCCCACATACACTCGAAGACGACGGCAAGCACCCTCCTCGCGGATGTCTCCATTGTGCCGCAGCTGCCGACCCCTGCTTGGGCATCCTCCGTGCGTGCAGGACGGCACGAAGCCTAATTTGTGGCCCGCTGCCAATGCAGCCTCACGGTACGTACAGTGCGTCCTGCGTATCCGATTTGATGCGCTCATGTCTTGGGCCGAGCAGGTACGACGGCGGTGCCCACGCACTAGCAGGTCGCGAAGAGGCCGCTCCGCCCAGTGCGCTTGCTTATGCAGCGTGCGCCTCTTCGGGAGACCTGTCCGTACACGGCGCGTTACCGCCCATTGCACGTCCGAGTCCCCCGCGTCGCACGGCAGAGACGGCCAATGTCGCGCTCGCGCGCGGCCGCCACTCTCCAACACCGCGGTGCGCTCTGAGCACACGCCCTTCTGCGGTGCACGCTCCCCAAGACGTCTGCATTCGAGTCCCTGCGCCCGTACGCGTACCGTGTGCGAGCAGGCGAAATGAATCTCATTTGGATGATTTTGCAGGGAACACCCGGACAAGACA